ATCACTTGCAGATCCTTGAACTCCCATAACTGAAATAAAAGTTAGCCTTTTTTTTTCTTTAAAAGTTAACCAATTTCAAATTTTTTGTAATAGAACATAAGTAAATAAACACTAAATGAATTCCAGTTGATTTACATAATTGGGGCACAGCTATATTTCAAAACACCTAAGGGCTGTCTAAAATGAAAGAGAGCACTGAATGTTATACATACTATTTTTATCGCTTATGTGTACATACCTATGAAGTTGAAGTTAAAAATATGTCACAGTGAGTGTCTAACAATTATAATCCATGGTAAATACAATTGTAACCATATACTGTAACAAAATCCACTTAAAACTTATTAATTACTTGTTTCTGGAATTTTCTATCTAAAATCTTTGCATATGACTCAATGAAAACTTCAGAAAGCTAAGCTCTGGATAAGCTAAACTGTAGACTATTTGTTACTTTGACAGCCTACTGTAAAGGAAGCAGAGTAGGCTATTCATGGGATAAGAAATGAATAAATACTATTGAAAGAGGTATGAATTACCTTTAAGATTGTGCTGTAAAAGACAATTGAGATGTTGCTGATCAGATCTGAATATTTCTTTCAATTCTACCTTCCTGTTTACGTTGTTAGAGGAGAAATTCTATTACCCAATGTCCAAAGCCAGTAGCTTGATACATTGCTGATAATACATCTCAAAAACAAATGGGCTTATTACCACATGCTCATTTATCTTTCAGAGTTAAAAAACTATTATAATAAATCACATTACTTTCTCAGTCTTACCTCAGAGAAACAAAAAGGAGTGTTGAGTTTATATTCTGATAAAACCTGTGCATCTGACAAGTATTCAGGTTTTAATTAACTTAATTGTGGAAAGAAAGCTTAGAAGGAAACATGGTACTTGAAAATCCAAACCTCCCACTGTGTAACTAGGAAACCTTTTGGACATTATATATTTAATGACTTTTGAATTTCACCCCCTGTCTGTATGAAAAAAAAATGTTCAGAACAAACATGTACTCTTCGTTTCTCCTCTCACCTTTCATCTGGGCACATTTTATTTATGCACTAGACGAACTTTTGGCCATTAGAACCATCTTGCTTCAGCAGTTAATTAACACAAGTACCATAATTTAATACAGTTAATGCTACTTGATGCCCTTTAATGTACCTTCCATTAGTGATATTATTGTAGTATTACCCTGTAAATTAAAATGAGATCAAGACTAAGAGAGTGGCTCTTTAATTAAGGTACTGGCACACTGCACTTCTCCATTATTCACTAGAGAAAATCACCCTGATTTACTGAAGCAGGACAACCATAAGTCAGAATTAGTCCATGAAGATTATTAGGTTTATTGAACAATGTAAGTGCTATGGAGTTACTGAGATTGCCAATAGTATTGCTTCCTCTTTATCGTGATAAATATGCAAGAAGTAAATGAAAGCAAAATAAGCATGTAGTAAAAGAGAAATACATTTTATGATAATATTATAGGTTTTGTTATCAGTTCAATAGATACTGGATATATCCCATGTTAAAAAAAGAGCGTAAACCAGTGGTTCTCAGCCTTCCTAAAGCTGTGACCTTTTACAACAATTCCTTATGATGTGGTGAACCCCCAGCCACAAAATTATTTCATTGCCACTTCATAATTGAAATTTTTATACTGCTATGAATCATAATGTAAACATCTGATATATGAAACCCTGTGGGAATCTCAACCCATAGGTTGAGAACCACTGGCCTAAATGACCCATTAATCTAATGATAGTCAAAACATTGCTTTTAGGTTAAATAAAGTAGTTATTATAAAATCTACATATGTATATTTATATTATATCTTCAGCTATTTTCATTTCATAGTTTAATATTTTAAGATGGAAAATATATTTTCTGTTGACTACATTGCAAATATTCATATCTGGTCTCCATACAAAGTTTATATGTATGTATTCATGTAAATTTCCCCATTTTGCTTGGATGGTATTAGAAATGACCAACAGAAAAATGTCATTATTATTCCTGGAAAAAGAAATGTATAGACATATATGATTCTGTGATTATGTGACCACAGAATGGAAAGGCAAGGTGCAGGAAACAATACCCTTGCCTACATTTTAGAAAATTAAGAACTTTTGAGTAGAGGTCATCAACTAATAGACAGCCTTTATATAGATGATTTGTAGTTTAAGGGAAAACCAATCAAGGATATGAATCCTGAAATTGTCAATGGTAATAATCACTTTATAGGTTGGAAGGCCTAATATACTACCTTTACTCAGTTTGCCGTTGAGTGGCTCCACCATGAGCAAATATTCCTTACATAACTTGAAAGCTGGAGACATGCCGGAGCCATCAGGCCTTGCTTCTTTAGTCCCTCCCCCAGGACTAAAAATACTCCAGCCATCTGGTGCCTAGTGCAGTACATGCCAGCATCAGTTTGCCCTGAAGAATTTGGACAGACTGTGGAGGTGACAGAGCAGAGCTGTATGGACGTGCCTACACCTCCACTGGCCCTTTCTCTTTTGCCCAGCTGTTCCTCACCAGCTTGCGGCTAACTGGTGAGCAGGAATGACAGTGGAGGTGAGACTCAGGGAAGGCAGCTTGCTGGAATCTGGGTCCTGCTAACTCCTCAGAGCCAGTGCAAAGCAGCGGGAGGTCATTGCCAAGGTGAGAAAGGTGAGAAGTCCGGAGGGATTCAGTGTTCTTGGTGGGCCATCTTCAGGAGATGGCCCAGCTAACTCCAATGGAGCACACAAAAAGCCATCCTTAGCTCAAAACCTTGCTTTATACTTTCCTTCAAAGAATCAGAGGAAAGGGAAATGAATTTCCAATAGCAAAAATACAAGCTCTTATTTAATACCTGAAAATCTCTGAAAGGTTGCCTTTCTGACAGAGCCAAATCATAGCATTTAGGTGCAGTGGGCTACAGAAACTCAAGCTCAGTTTAAGGAGTTTTCAAACTGTCAGAAACTGACTTACCTGAATTTAATATTATAAAACCACACAAATCTCAGCCTATTAGTTTAGAGCTATCTTCTTTCAGCCATATTGAATATTTGACATTTGATGTTGGTATGCTGTTGTTAAAAATATCAAATATTGTTATGCAGTATGTGCTTTTGAGAATAAATAAGGTGGCATTTTAAACTGATAGTCTTTTACTAAAATGTTCCTGAATATTTGGGACATTTTGGTACAGCACATACTCAAATCTTATAAGACAACTTCCCTTTGCCCATTCATAGTCTCCTGCTAAACCATGCACTCCTCTCTAAACTGTAGGGGTCTCAAGCTCAGTGTGGGTATTGATATACTAGGGCACAAATTTCGCCAAAATACTAATTTGCTTTCAAGATGTAGTCATCATCTGTCACTAAGACATTGGTTAAAAGTTGACAATAAGGTCTGTAGCTAAAGATTCTTTTTATTTAGTTAATTTTTTATTTAAATTAAAAGTATTCTTATTTTACATACCAACCCAGTTCCCTCTATCTTCTCCCCACACCATCCCCCCATTCCAACCCCATCCACTCCTCAGAGAGGGTGAGGCCTTCCCTGGGGGATCATCAAAGTCTGTCACATCATTTGGGGCAGGACTGACTCCCCCCTTCCCTGCATCTAGGCTGAGAGAGTATTCCTCCATAGGGAATGGGTTCCCAAAGCCACTTCATGTCCTCAGGATAAATACTGGCTCCACTGCCAGTGGCCTCATAGACTGCCCAAGCCCCTCAACTGACGCCCACATTCAGGGGGCCTGCTTTGGTCTTATGCAGGTTCACCAGCTGTCAGTCTAGAGACAGTGAGCTCCCATTTGCTCAGGTCAGCTGTTAATGTGGGCTTCCTCAACCTGGTCTTGACCCCTTTGCTCATCACTCCTCCCTCTCTACAACCAGATTCCAGGAGCAAGTTAAAGATTTTTCACTGGTCACGAGGAACACAGGCTAAGCACAGCAGATAGCCCCAAATTTATGCTATCTTCCCACTGTTTACATCCTGAAACTTTAGATGCCACTCTAAGCAGGAAAGCACCACCTTTTCTTCGTTCTCACTATTACTCTCATCTTAACAGTAGCAAACATGTATTTATTCATATGTGGCAAGCAACTCTCAGAAGGACCAGAATCCCAGCACCTCCAGTTTCTGAGGACTGGTTAGACCCCAAAGAATCAGAAAGCCAACCAATTGAATTAACACTGATTTATCTGTCTAAATTTATGTTTGCCTAGAGCAATATACCAAATGTACCATTTACACAGTTATCTTCATATATTTTCATATTTTAAGAATGATTATCTCTTTGTTTATATTTCCTTTTTTTCTTTCCACTATCTCATGCTTCCACTCCCATCATGCCTTGCTGAATAAAAATCTCTGTGTTGGTAATTTTTGTTCTCACCATTGGAGTTTCTCATTCAAACGTCTTCAAAATTCTTTATAGTTCAATTGTAGTTTTGGTATACTATTGAAACAAGGTTCCCTCATCATAACCAATGATGTTACAACTCTAGTCCATCTGTACTTGACCTACAAAGTGAAGTGTCCCAAGCCCGTGTTTTAGATATGAAATAGTGTTTTAAAACAAAAGTATCCATGACCTTTTAAAAAGGGAAGCTTAACCATCTTAAAGAAATGCATTTATTTCTTTATGCATGGTGACTCTTACTTGCATTGTGAAATGTAAGACATAACCCTGTTTTTCTCTACCCCTCTAACAGAGCAAGCAGTTTCACTATGTTGATGATGTTAGCCTCACCTCACATAAAAAGTTCCTGAGCTTCAGATAAGATACTTATGTTTTCTTTTGTTTAAATTCTAAAGATGCTTGAAGACTGACAGCCAATGTAGGTTTATAAATCATTGTTGAGCCAAAAGGTCAAAGACACCTTAAGAATCTCCTTGCATAGTGATGTTGTTTAGAAAACAGTAAAATAAAAATTGACCAAAGCATATTTTTGGACACAGTCGTTTCCATTCAAGATGAACAGAGAATCTCTTACCTTCCTCGCACCTTTATGTCTGAGATAGCATAAAAGTAACGTGCCAAATGTAGCTCGTCTACAAATATTTCCCCAACGGCTGGTCTCAATAGCCTGATCCTCAGGTCCGTGACTGTGAAGAAATCTCTGAGTTTCTTGGTTGTATCCAGCTGTCCATAGAGGGAAGCCATATTTCGTAGCCTAGGTCCAGCAAAAAATGCAAACCTATCTTTGATCTCGAAGTGAATTATTTTGCTATTCGTGGAGTACCCGGTGGAGTACTCTTCAGTGCAAATGATCTCTAAGACCGAGTGCTGGGATAAATCCTTCACAGATTTTGGGTCCATGTGAAAAGCATCTAGGCAGTCTGTGGCATAATACTGATAGGGCTGCCATGTTCGTCCATAATCGAGAGATTTCTCCAGGATCATTTGGTCTGGACGCCCCGATTCAAAGGTAATAACTATGTTGTCTGTGAGCTCAATGGTTTTGCTCCAAGACAGAGTGATGTTAACCTGGAGAGGTTTGGGGTACTCCTTCCAAGTAGCAGACTGCCAAAATGTGGAGGGATGTCTTCCTTCGAAATCAAACATCAGCTCAGGAGGGTGTGCCAGTTCAGGGGTACTTGCATCACACTCATTATTGCACATGTAAGGGTTGCCCTATGGAGGAAGAATAAAGGAGGATTCATTAAAATGTTAGCTCCACACAGTCACACCTTATTGCTGATTGTTAACAAACTAAGACAGAAAACAACAATAACAAAGCCATTAAACATCTCACTTTTCCCAACTGGATTCTCCTCTATAATAGCCTTTTAAAAAGTACTATGGGGAGCTAGGAAGATGACTCGGAAGTTAAGAACATGACTGCTCTTCCAGAAGACCCAGGCTCGATTCCTCACATCTACATGGCAGCTCACAACTGTCTGTCATTCTAGTTCTAGAGCATCAGATGCCTTCTTCTGAATTCCATAGGCATCAGGCATGCAAGTGGTGCACAGACTAACAAAACACTTATACACATAGCATATAAAAATAATCTCGTAAAATTAATGCAGCAATTTTCTTGTCTTTCTATGGGCTTCAACATATAAGTAAAGTTTATTTATCCCTGTGTGTTAGACCCATGATGTGATCACAGAGGCACAAGGACTCAGAACTGCCTAATAGCTCAATCCTTCTACATCCTCCTAGAAAGTCTTGCAGAGAAGCAAAGAAGCCAGGCAGAATCCCTCCCCAACTTGATATTCCTGACAACATGGTTCTTTTTTATTATGACTTTTTTGAAATTAAAATATGATTACATCATTTCTCTCTTTACCTTTGCTTCCTATAGCTCTTCCCATGTATCCCTCTTGCGCTCCCAAATTTCCAGCTTAAAAAGCCAACTCTCTCTCTCTCTCTCTCTGTGTGTGTGTGTGTATGTGTATGTGTATGTGTATGTGTATGTGTATGTGTATGTGTATGTGTATGTGTATGTGTATGTGTATGTGTATGTGTATGTGTATGTGTGTGTGTTCATTCCTAAAACATACATACAATCTGCTAGTACAAATAATGTTACTTATATGCATATTTTCAGAGCTGATCATTTGGTACTAGATAATCAGTTAGTGTTCTCTTCCCTGTGAAGACTATTTCTCGAACTCTCAGGATTCCTTAGTTGCCTACAGTTCTTTGTCTAAGATTGAGATTTCCTGAGATTTTCCCTTCCACTTAGCATGTCTATTGATGCCATTCCAATTTAGGTCTTATTTAGGGATGGTTCTTTAACAATTCACTTTTCAAGCAGGGCTTTAGAATTAGCCATGAATGATAGATGCTAATCCTTGTCCTATATTGCCAAGGATACCCTCATTAACATTCAGCTTTCTCTTTGCTTTGCCTTCAATCCATCATACTTAACTGGGTCCCTGCTTCATAAAATCTGGTTTTAAAACATTTACTTTATTCACCACAAATCATTAAAATGTGGTACACTGCAGGCTCTGGGGTTTGGTCCAAACATCTGGCATCCTAATAGCTAGATATGAGATGAGTGCTCAGGAATGTCTTGGGCTGAGGATGTGTTCCAAGTAATAGAACACAGAAGCCCACTATAGCTATCCCTCAGTATCCTTGAGGTATTGGTTCCAGGTCCCCCATGGATACCCAAATCTGCCTAATTTTAAATGGCATAACATTTGCATATACCCTCCACATACTTCAAATCATCTGGAAATGATTTAAATGGAAATGTTATGTAAATAGTTACTACACGGCATTCTTTGGGGGAACATTGACAAGGAATAATCTATATGTTTGCAGTGCAGAGTCAACCATTCTGGGCTTGACTGTACAGCACATGAATGCCATCCAATGAGAAGCACTGACAGCAGAATGAGAACCTGAGGATGGCAGGAGGCTGCAATAGTATGCCTGCTGGCATGTCACTTATTCTTTTGAACACAATGCTCTACATGGGGCAGAGTCATGTTTTGCCATTGGCAACTTTCTGCACCCCCTCCTGTATCTTCACTCCATGGTTGACTGCAGACATGGAGTTTTCAGATTGTGGAGGACTAGCTCCAGGCGGCGGAGATGATGCTGTACACCCAACCAGACACTTGTGTGCTTGTGACTTAGACTCTGCCCATAGGCAGCTCTCTGTGGATGTTAATTATTATTCTCCTTACAAATGCTACTTCCTTTACAACCCACTCAAACAAGAAGCTGCAAATAGGCCTCCCTGTCATGTCACAAGTTAAAACACTGCTTCTGTTACACTAAGTGCCTCTTCTCTGGTTTCCCTGATAGAATGTGGAGAGAACAACTTAGCATTGCTTAAATTTTTCTTTAAAAAGAAAAGCAAATAATAACATCCAAAGTCACTATTCAGGAATAGTAAATTGTTATAGTTCTCCTTATTTTCAGGGGACATATTACAAGACCCTCAGGGAATACTTAAAGCCTCTGGTTACAATAAAACCAATATATGTTTATTTTCCCTCTAAACCTATGAAAATACTTATAATTTTGGATAATAAGGACTTAGCAATGACTCCTAATAGAACAATGTGTTATAATAAAAACTATGTAAATGAGGTCAATCTCAAAATGTCTTTGTATACTCTTCTTTCTGAGACCAATATAGGCTATATAGTATCTATGTGATGAAATGATTGGAAATACAGGTATATGTTCTTGATATAATGCTGGTGGAATATGAATACTGTGATGCCTGGGATTATTGCTCTGAGGATTGAAGCTGCTGTTCAGTGACTAATGAGTGGGTGGTATCTATGGTGTGAATACACTGATAAAGGGCTATTCATACCCACAAATGGTGGGATGGAGTCAAAAGTAAGAGTTTTATTGTGTTGCTTGCAACAGTGCACAAGGCAAAACCTATACAAATTGTTTATTTTTAGTTTTTTTCCATCTAATATTTAGGACCCAGTTGACCACCAGGGACTGGCACTATGCAAAATGAAACTATGGATAAGAGGGATTTGCCGTATTCCCTCGCCCTATTCTACACATTTGTGGACATGATTGGATGGAAGAAATTCCCTTCTCATACTGTCCTCAGCCTTTCTTTTGGAATTACACTGAGAATTCTCTTCTTATTCTTTTCATGAATTGTGAGCTTTTGATCACATCATCTGTTGGATGTGTGAGATGGATCTCCAGTAATTAATTTACACTGTAGATATAGACACTCAGTTACCTGCTGACTCCTGTGTAATACAAGATGGGCACTGAAGAATTGCTCAGTCCTCCCTAGGGGCAGCTTGCTCCTACCTAGTCAGCTAATACTCTCTTCCCCCCTTTCCCATTAAAGCAATTGAATCTGAACATTGGCAACAGGTTTGAGAGACTCAGGTAAAATTGAGATGAGGTAGGGGAAAGGAGAGAAGGGATATTATGTGAGAAACAGAACTGTTTTAAAAATATACTCAAGAAATCAGTGATAATGGAAATGTTGCTGTACTTTTCTCTCAAATTTCAATTCCCTATTCCTGATCCCAGCATCTGTGGT